CTTAAGCAGACCTGTGCAATAGCTCACAATTAGACGTACAATACATCTAGGTAACTTCCGAGCATAAGCTCAACATGAAGAAACAAACTAATACGTTTATCTAAGACAAAAGACTTCTTTATAGACCAAATTTTATTGGCCTATAAAAATTTAAATGTAGTATAAAAGCCTCTGATATAAACAAGAATAAGCAATAATAAATTAATTTAAATTAGATGAATATATAAAGATCGATGTAATGAGAACTGTATTATAATTAATAAAATAAACATGAACAAAGATAAAGATGAAATTTTTCTGTCGAAAATGTTCATAAAGCCATTGGTTCTTGGACCATAATAATATTTAGAGTAGCCAACAAACTTAACACTTTCGTTAAGTGAGCTCTCTAGAAGGTCCGAAAAAATTTTTTATCGCGTATATGTTAATAGCAATGGAGAGAATTCTTACAATTATAAATACTTATAAGCCACGATCATTCCTACAATTTTTTCAAAGCCGCATGTCCAATCGCATTTCATGTCAGCGATACCTACCAAATGTTAGATAGTACTGCCTCATTTGATGGGAAATATTAATGTTGATAGCAGATAAATTAAAACTATTATAGACAAATTGATTAAATTATATTAATCATTTTTAGAAATTTATTTTCTATTTCATTATAATAGAATTCATTTATCTTTTTAAAGATACAGTATACAAAATTTTATAAGAAATAAATATTGAAACATTTTTCATAAGAGGCCTTTGCATGATTATTTGATAGACATTCACTTTTATTCATCGTGCATGATATTAAGTTAAATAATTTATAAAAATTAACTATTTACAAATCGATAGGACATGCAGCACTAATTTTATAACTTAATGCACTTATTTGAATATACCTAAGCACATGCTTGTTTTGAGACAAATAAAAAGAACTGGCGGTGCTCCTTGCGGATATATTACGTCTATTACCCTTACTATATAGTTGTAACATTTATGGGTATCCACTACAAATTAGAGTCTCTGGAACTCTATTGCTTTCATTGATGAAAGCGTTCTTGCATTCGTTTTCTGTAAAAGTGAAGGGTTTGGCATTATGCTCACGATCACTGTACGTTGTTATTACCCATATCTGAATAAAAACATGAAAAAAATAAACAAATATCAAAACTACATCAACAAAATCATTAACTAAAAATTAATTTTTTAACAAATAAAAAATTACCCATAACCATTTATTTAAAAAAATTGAAAATTAAAATTTTCGCAAGGTTTGTTCGTCTTTTAAATATTTTTATATGAAAATATCATTTGTTAAACTAAATAGTTTAACATCAAATATATTGAATATATTTATTCCAAACTGTATAATATTTTTATCGATTCCTTTATATAAAATCGGACAAACCTACGATTTTACAATAAAAATATAGATATATTCTTAATCATATGCATTGAAAAAAATATATGTAAAAATAATAAATATTCAAATTGTTACTTACCACGATTTCCCGTTCTAATAGCATTAACATTAGTTAAATGATGTTGACCAGCTCTAATTGGTTTAGCAATTTGTGCACTCGGTCCACGACGAGCTAAATTCTTTTGTCTAACTGCTTCCTTGATTCTATCTACCTCGTATTGATAACGTTTACGATCTCGCATTGCACCTTCTTTGGCATCTCGCAATGCTGTTTCTAGAGCTTTGACACGTTCCATAGTAGCCCGTAATCTTTTTTCAAGTTTAGGTAATTCACATCGAAGATCAGCATTATCTCTTACAAGTTGTTTATGAACCTATTAAATAAAAAATACATGGATATAATTCAATAAAATAAAAATATATATAAAATAAAAATATATATATATAAAAATCATCTACCTTTGTAAGCTGGTCTAAATTATTCTCGAGGAAGGAAATCTTTTGTTTCTGTGTTAATGATCCACCATCATCTTCGTTATCTTCTGCAATCATAGTCTTCTTTATTCTAGTTTGAAGATCTTGAACAAATAACTTGCGTAGATTATGCAATGTTTGAAGTTCTTTGGCTACTGTTTCCTCTAGACCTTTAAGATCTTTTCGAGCCTATAAAAAAAAACATTAATAATCGTAAATTTTTTTAATTGCTCTTATATTTTGTAAAATTTATACATACTTGTTCACGACGTTCATTAAGCAAAATTAATTCTTGCAATTTAACAGATTTATTTGCTTCTTCTTGTTTTAATCGTTCATAATCTGCTTGCATTTGTTGATGAGCCAATGTGAATTTTTGATTCAAATCTTTAAGTTCACTAATCAATTCTTGTTTTTCAGATAATTCATCTCGAAGTGCTGCGACCTATATAATTAATAATAATATAATAACAATAACATATAATATAATGAATAATTAACATGTATATTTAACATGTATTACTTGTTTCTGATGAGCATCTCGCAATTGATCCATTTGTTCTTCTAGTGCTACTCTCATCTTTGTCGCTGCTTCTTTTTCTTCTGCTTTTTCTTTATTTGTAACTGCTTGTACCTGTTCTGCAGCCTTTAACTTGGCACATTCTTCGCGTAAAGCATCAACATCTTCTTCTAAAGCACGTTTACGTGCTTCTGCTACTTTCATTGATTCCGTTAATGTTTGCATGCGAGCTTCGTGTTGAGAAATTAATAAACGACATTCAGCCAAATCTTTTTCATATTCAGCAACCTAAAATAAAATTTATGAATGAGTATCATAATTAAAAGTTAAATATAATAAATTCAAAAAGTATGAAATCGAATGCTTACTTTCTTGTTACAGTCTACTTGGAAACTTTCTAATCCTTGACATCGTTGTACTAAATTCTTCACCTCTGATTTCATTTTACTAATAAACAGTCTTGCCACAGTAAATTCTTCTTCAAGTTTACCATTACTTTCTGTAGGTGCAACCTAAAAAATATAAAATTTTTTATATTTTATTTAATTTAAAAAATTAAAAAAAATTTTTTAAATGATTTAATAAATAAAATTTTACTTTTAGATTTTCATCACCACCAATTGCAACCCCAATTTCACCTAAATCTTTTAAGAAGTTTGCTAGCATTTCTGCAATACGTTTCCTTTGATGAGCCGACATATCTCGTAATTGTTGTAATTCTGAAGCCGTACTGTTTAATGTTGTTTGTTTTGCTAATAATTCTTCTGTTAAAGTTTCAGTTTCTTTCTTTTTAATATCACACTATGAAAATGAATATTATATGAATTTAATATATATTCTTATATTTCTTAATAAAAATAATATAAAAAAATTAATACAAAAGATACCTCTTGGCATTTCTGATCATAATTAACTGCTAATTCTTCCAATGCTTGTAAAACTTCTTTAACTTCTTCCTTAGCCCGTTCGTGTTCTTGCTGTGTTCGATTTACTTCCTGTTGAAGTTTTTCATATTCACGTCTTGCAGTAGCAATTAATTCTGCTTGTTCATGAATTTGTTCTTTTAAGTTCTCAACATATTGTGATTGTTGATTGATTTCTTCATCTTTATCATCCAATTGTTGATAAAGTCTTTCACGTTCTTCTTCTAATTTTTGTCTTTCTTCATTAGATAAAGATCCAGCCATTAAGTTGCCACCAGGAGTGGCTGGCATCGGACCATCATCCAGTTTACCTGAAAATAATTATAATTTATAATAATATTGTAACATTTTTATTTTCAAAAAATAAGTTAGATACTACCTTCAATAGACATATTAATTGGTGTTGTAACATCTGGTCCTTCAACCAAATTAACTTGTTCTTCAGGTTTAACAGTTTCACCCTGTCGCCAACGTGATAATTCAGCTTCTAATTTTTCAACTTTTCCTTTCAATCTAGCTGCTTTTTCCTTTTCTCTTTCGTAGCGACGTTTCCATTCTTCAGCTGTCAATTCCTCATTAACACATACAACATTCTTAATAGTTTTAGCACGTTTACCTAAAAAAATAAATAATATAATAATTGAAAAACTTCATTTGTCAAAAAGAAATTAAGAAATTTTTCTATTACCAAAATCTAATGTCGATTTTGTTTCTGATTCATTGAAACTAGCTGGTGAACAACAAATAATAATTGTAGTTCTGGCATTGCCACCAAGAGATTCTTGTAAAATTCTAGTCAATTTTGAATCACGATAAGGAATGTGAGTTTTATTTCCATCAGCTAAAGCTGATATTACATTGCCAAGTGCTGATAGAGATTTATTGATATTTTTTGCTTCATCTAGTACAGTTCCTTCTGCTCCAGTTTTAGAAACCTAAAATATAAAAACAAAACTAATATATTCTTTTATTTGAAAAAAAAAAAAAAAAAAGATATAGATATTTAATGAAATAGATATATTTATAATGCACCTTTTCTGAACCAGCCAAATCAACAAGATATAATTTTCCAGAAAGCTTCTTTTGGTTTTCTAAATTTTCCTGTTTCACATTTATTAAAAATACAGAATGAGAACGTGAACTGTGTTCGTTCATATTAGTTACTGCAATGTGCCTATTTGATTTTCCCTCTTCTATAACTTCAAATACTTCTTCAGGACTAGATACAAAGCGTTCTGTTGCACCTTTTACAAATGGAACTCGATTCTTATCTTCATGCACACTTAAATTCACTTTAGAAACTAAAAATAAAAGAAATTAAATTAGAAACTAATTAATTTTAATTAATAAGCTATGTTACATTAAATATAAAAAAAATTAAATATAGATAATAATATTCTTACCATCAAGAAGATCTCTAATTTTGTCCATATAGATTTCAAAGTATGATACCTTGATATGAAATTCCAAATTTTCTTCCATACCATAAATATGATTGAAAATATCATTAACAATTCTGGGAATAATACCTTGTTTATTTGGATCTCCAATAACACCTTCCATGGTATGTGTTTTTCCTAATTTATGCATAAATATTTTATTAAAAAAAACTATAGTATTTTTTTTAAATAAAATTCATTCTATAAAATTTTATAATTAGAACTTAATTTTTATAATTAATATAAGAAATCAACAAGTTATAATATGTATTTTAACTTACCTGAAGATGTTTGACCATATGCAAAAATAGTGCCGTTATACCCTGCCAACACATCTGTGACAATTGATCTAGCCGCTTCATTGTAAACTTTGTCTTGAGTAGCATTTGGTTTAAAAACTTTGTCAAAAAGATATACTTTTCCCTAAAAAATAATATAATATTAAAGAACATATATTTTCATGAAAAATCTGGAAACAATCATAAATTTTAGAAAATTTTAATTATATCATATAAATCATTTAAATTATACATTAATATATTATTTTATTTTATTAATTTATATTTATGAACATATCCATATTAACTGTATAGAATTGAATTTTTAATAATTAAGTAAACATTTTGAACATTAAACATAATAAAAAATATAATATATTAAAATATGTTCCGTTATAATTGCCGCGAACAAAATATTCTTTGTTTTCTTGATCAATGTCAGCTATGTATACATTGTCTTTAAATTATATAAACATATAAATATAATATAGCATTATAAATATTTATATCAGATAATAGAGTGATTTAAATTTTTAATTAAAGTTTGTAATTGTTCAATTAAATAAGTTTTTTAAATACTTTTGAATGTTTGATTGATACAAAGAAAAAAGAAGTAAAAGTGCGATAAAATAGTCATATTAGGTATTTAAAAATTAAAAAAATAATAATAATAATAAATAATAAATAAATAAAATAAAAATAATAAATAAAATTTTGCAATTAGAAAAAATTTGCAATAGATATTATATATTATAATATTAAGTAATAATAACAATAATTACAACCAACAAAAATTGATGATAATTAGTTAAATAATTAGATAATTAATTTCTGTAAATATTAAAAAAGGATACAATAAAAGAAAAAGTTAAAAAAAAAGTTAAAAGTTATAAAAGTTGTAATTAATAAACGATTCATGCAATAAACTTCGGTAGCGATGATGAAAAGATTTATGAAGAAGGCAAACTTTGAAAATATAAAAAAATTTTTATTGAAATCATAAAATAATGTCAAAAAACTTCAACAAACTGGAAACTATGAATATTGATGATTAGAAGACATTATGAATGAATGAGTCCGAGCGATAGATTTTTTCATTCATCGTAAGATAGATAAAAAATTAAAATAACTATATTATTAGAAAAATAGAAAAATATAAATCGAAAAATTATAAAACAAATTAATTGCTAATATAATATTAAAATTAATAAACATCATAGTTAAAAAAATTTTATTATTTAATAAGAAAGAATCAATCATTATCAAAAAAGAAAAAAATTTCATTATTTTTGATAAAATATTAAGTTATTTAATTATGCAAAATAATGATTTATGAGAAAAGCTTTTAGAAAAGTATTTTTTAAAATATTTCAATTATTATTGTTTATTATTACTTTTATTTTATTATTATGAAAGTCTTAAAATCTTTGAATAAGAATGATGATTTAAATAGTTGATTTTAAAAAATAACAATATAATATATACAAATACAAATACTTATCAACTTTGAATGAATAATGATTTAATTTTATTTTATCAAATCAAATTTTATTTTTATATTATGTATTTCATAATAAATTATGAATAAAATAAAATATAAAATATAACATGGAAATCATAAATAAGAAAAGACATTTTCTGAATCTCTATAGAAGAATATAAGAAAAAAGGGGGACAATTGCACTCAATAAAGCTTTGTTTCAGAAACCTCTTGAAACAATAGCAATATCTTTATTAAGCACCAGATCAAAAGGCTTTCATATGAGAAAGAATTGGTACATTTATAAACATAATATCTATTTAAAAATAATATATATGCATTTCAGTATATTTCAAATCATAACATATTTAAAAATAATAGAAATAATATTAGAAATAATTTCAAGTTTTAATTTAATAACTAATATAGAATTGCAATTCTGTTTAATAATTTTTTATACATTAATACATATTTTAATATATGAATCATAGATAATTATAAAAATACATTTTTATTTTACATTATTGAATTTATATATTTTCTATCTATTAAAAAAACTAATCTTTGAAATGATTTGATAATCTCTATATTTTATCTATCTTTTAAAATGATTTTGAATTTATTTCTCAGTGCTGAAATCACTCATAACATATTAAACATATAATATAAAAATATAACATATTAAAAAACATTAAATATACATATATTTTATGAAAAGATTTAGCAATTATAAAAAATAAGATCGTTTATTAAATTAATATATAGCGAATACGAATTCAATTAAATAATTTATAAAATCAAATTTATATTTATTGACAAATCTAAAGTTAAATCGTTGTTAAGATAAAAATTGATGTTTGAATGAATTAAAACAATGAAATAAAACAAAAAAATCTGATAATAATTTAATATTATATATTTATTATATTTATTTTGAATTAAAATTTAATCGACCACTTAGATATGTCAACGTAAGAAAATCGTTCAGCAAAATGAGTACCGATGAAGATGAAATTAAATTTATTTTACTGAAAATAACAAAAGTGAATCATCGTACATTGTTCGAAAAAATTTTGTAATACGTGTAAAATGTACAGCATGCGGTTTATAGATAAGATATTAGGTAAAGAGAAGGACCGAGAGCAGCTGTCAGCTGTGCATGATGACATCACACATAGTGCTGAACATGGTTAACGAACATAATAATTAAAAAAGATAATGATGTAAAATACATACCCCGATAGAGATGCAATTATCCTCACCGCCAGAGGGGAATTTTACGATAAATTTCGAACCAGCTTTTTCTTCGGAGTCGTTCAAAGGTCGAAATCTACAGACTACCTTAATACTGTCCTCCGCGGCAATCTCACGCTCTCTTGGCGTCTCCATTGCCATATTTTGGTAGCTCGAATTCGTGAGACGAGTTCCTTAGTTCTTCTAATTAGCCACACTTAAAAATGATTTCCAATCTCTCGTAGGGTGCATAGGCGATGAGATGGTCGCGTGAACCACATGAAGAACCACTACCGTCTCTCTGTCACAAACCACAGCCCGTTTCGGAGCCAGTAAAGATGGCTGCCGTTGTTCGATGATTTTGCGGGTGGATTGATTTGCGTGTGCAAAGGTGAGAATCAACGATTGTACTTATATTAAATTGAAAAAAGAACATGGACAATAAATAATACGCGACGATCTTGTTTCCTAATACATTACTACTCTATGCTAAATCTGAAAATGATTTTTTTTAATACTTGGTTCCCTAAAAACCAATCGATGAGAAGTCTAGACAAAGTTTAACGCAAACGCGTCGAACTAAATGTGCGCGCGCGCTGTACGACTTGCCTCTTTGCGCATATGAAGCAGCATTGTCGGCGGATATCATGCGTTCTCAGGGCTGTAACTTGCGTGGGCGTAGTTTTTTATATTTTTTCAAATTATTTTTCTAAATATTTTATTAAATATTTAAAACATCAAAATTTTATTTTAATAATCATTCTTAATTTATTGATAATATTTGTAAATCATTCGTATTTTGAACAGTGACTATAATATTTAGACTATTTTATGTATAGTTTTTTTTTACATAATAAATTTAATAAAAATTGATTTAAATTTGTTTAAAATTTTTATTAATTTTAAATTGAATTTAAAATTTTTAACTATTTTCTATTAGATAATCATAATATTTTATTTCTCTCAAAAAGTGAAATAATAAGAATTATTAAATAGCATATTTTTGCATATATACAAATTATTTTTAAAAACACTATATTTATATAATGTTTTTGATATTGTTAAAAAATTAATTTCTAATTTTTCTACCAGATTCATACTTTAGGAGGTACATATATTTTTAATTACTATTTCATTCAATCATATATTAATCTAGAATATAAAATTAAAGTTTAATATTATCATAATACAATATAAATACATATAAAATATTATTTTAAATTTTATTAATTTTTTAATATTAAGATTTATATTCACATTTTGAAAAAAATTAAAATATTTTGATAATAATAATATAATATTTATTTAAATTAAATATCAATATTCATTAAGATATAAAATAAAATTGTATTTATTTTATATTGCAAAATATTATGTTGTTTGATAGAAAAATATCTTTTTGAATATATGAATAAATGATTGAATATATTATTTATATATATTTATATATATTTATATTATCATTCAATTTTATCATA